GGTCCCCCAGCCCCCCTGCCGAGGCTGTCAGTCTCCCTGCCAAGGCTGGAGCTGTGAGGGGTGGAGAGAGAGAAAGAGAGACGAAGCACAGCTGATCAGCAGGGGATGTGATCATCCCAAAGCTTCCCCACGATCATCGCAAAGCGAATTTTCCCCATAGGGGCCATCGCAAAGCGATCGCTCTTGCGATGGCAAAAAGTCCATTGCAAAGCAATTTCATTGTAAAACGGAGCAATCGCTATGCGAGACACCACTGTATTTGAATATTATTTTCAGATTTTAAAAAAGAATATTAATGACTTATGTTTATCAAAAGATACCATAAAATATTGTATACAATTACTGCCACAGTAACGCTGTATAATAAGCAATTATAAGTAATATTCCATTATAGGTAAAGAAGATACTGATGTAATAAATAATTGTAAGGAAGAAGTTCCTGATTTGGCACAAGCAGAGCTAAAAGGTATTCAAATACATCGTTCTAGATTTTCATATACAGTGGTGCCTCGCTTGATGAGGATAATCCATTCCAGCGAAATCGCTGTAGAGCGAAATCCTCGTCAAGCGAAATAAAAAAGCCCATTGAAATGCACTGAAAACTGGTTCAATGTGTTCCAATGGGCGAAATACCTCAGCGTCCAGCGAAGATCCTCCATAGGGTGGCCATTTTCCGATGCCTGTGCAGTGAAAAATCTGTCCTAAAGCACAGCGGGGAGCCATTTTGAACAGCTGTCAGCCATTTTGAAACCCGATGATCAGCTGTTTTGATCGTCGTAATGTGAAGATTCGGTTCCTGAAGCAGGGAACCGAACGTCAGGAAGCGAATTTTGCCCATTAAAACGTTTTGTGTTCGCAAAAGCGATTGCAAAAACCTCACGTCAAGCAGATTCGTCGTTTAATGAGGTAATCGTTAAGCGAGGCACCACTGTATTAAAAAAATTTAATCCTCTCTATGCAAAACAGACAGTAACATTTTATTTTAAAAAATTAAAGGAAGAACAGACATTTCTTCCTTTAATTTTGCAGGCAGGAAGCAAAAATCACAGACATGAGGTGATATCTACACTATCCCTGCCAAGGGCAGCCCAAGCTCACACATGTCTGAAGGTAAATGTACCATGTTCTTCAACCTGTGCATTTCGCACCTAACATGCAAGTGTGACCCACAACACAGTCACAGCTGGAACAGTGGAGAGGGTGGCCATCTCTACTCCACTACAGGGTCCATGGTGCTAGTGGCTCCACACATGCATGCACACACTGACCATTGAGAGGAGAAGAAAAAGCACTCAGTGCTGAGCAGGTGGCAGCAACATAAAGGCAACTTTACCTGCCACCCTAACACAGGAGGAGGAGGAGGCAGTAGTGGCATAGGAGGAGGAGGAGGAGGAGGAGGCAGTAGTGGCACTGTGGGAGGAATGACAAAAATGTTTCTCCTTCAGTGTAATCTAAATCCCCTCCCCTGCCTGTGCCCGCTGTTAAAAACAGAAAAATCACACAATTTCAAAATGAATATTTAGCAGAAAGCACAGCTTAGGGTATATCATAAAAGAGAGCAAACATACTGCATACCATAAACATCTTAAGGATATGGAATAAAAAGGTGAACCACTGTCAACAATCCACAGATTTTAAATACTCTTTATCTTAAACAAAAGAGAAAAGAAAGATGTGTTTTTCTTGACTTTTCAATATGTTTTTGAAAACTGGCTACTGGGTCACTTGACTCAAAACTTGTGGTTTGTGGAAGGAACCACAACCCACAACTTTAAGCAGTTGGAGGCAGCAAGTTAATTTTGTGTGAGACTGCTGTGGCACACAGAGAGGAGATGGGCAGAGTTTCTACTTTAGAGGTATTTCTTTATCTTTTGTTTGGGAGTGTTTCTACTGGGATTTTGGTTAAAAAGAGGGAGGGTTCTACGACCTTCCTTATTCCTTTGGTCAGCAGAGTATAAAACAGAAAAAGAACAGAAATGTGGAGAAATCAGCCCATTTTCAATGAAAAGCCCCCCCAATTAGCACACAAAACTAGCACTTTGTATGATTTTAAAAAATCACCCTAGGAGTATTTAAAATTTAAAAAGGATCTTTATTTACAGTCAACAACTGTAGTTACAGTTAGAAGGAATGGGGGGAAGGGTGACAGCGCCGCCGCCTCAGTCTCCCTGCTGAGGCTGGAGCTGCGCGAGGGGTGGAGAGAGAGAGAGAGAGAGAGACGAAGCACAGCTGATCGGCGGGGCTTTGGGATCATCGCGGGGAAGCTGGCCGAAAATGGGGGCTTTGCGATGATCGCTTCCCCGCAATCATTGCAAAGCCCCCATTTTTGCACAACTGAGCAGTGGTTCCAAAATGGCGGCTGCTGTTTTGCCTCGCTTTAGAGGCACCCAAAATGGCCACCGATATGGAGGAATTTCGCTTAAGGTTAGTTTCTAAGCCCCTAGGAACATATTAAACACGTTTTAATACGTTCCTATGGGCTTTTTAAAATCGCTTAGCAATTAAATCACTTAGCGGCGGTTTTCCTGGAACTGATTAATGTCGCTAAGTGAGGCACCACTGTATGCCTTAACTCCTCTGTTGGATGGGAGGCTGTGGAAGATTTTGAGTGGATTTAAGTGTTAGTATTGATTTTGGACATCTGAGGCACCACTGTATGCCTTAACTCCTCTATTGGGAGGCTGTGGAAGGTTTTGAGTGGATTTAAGTCTTAGTATTTATTTTGGACATTATTTAAGTACTAAAACTAGTCTTGTTGTGCTTGTCATTGTGCAAGTAATGTATGTACCTATAATGTTTGGTCTAGATTTGATATTTTTGTTGAGATATTGACTGTTGTCGTGTTGTTAATGCTTGCAATTTTGTGAAGCAGAGATAAAACCAATACAATGCAACTTTTAAAACTTTTTAGTTGAAAACTGTCAGTATGAAACAATTTCTTTATGATGTCCATGGTTTAGAAACCTAGTAACAATTGTACTACAAAGCTGCTTGAAAGAAAAGACTTCACTATGTGGGAGTAGACCTACACTTTCCAATAAAACAAATCCCTGAATGGAGAAACGTCTGTTAAAATTTTAAAGCTCACTAAGGATTGCCTGTATTAAACATTCCTTTAATTTTTTTAAAAAAAGATCATGTTTCCCATCAATATTTCTCAGATGTTGTCCATTAGTGGTTTATTTTCCTAGCTGTTTAATTTATTTCATAATAATTTCTTATACTGAGCCTTTGTTTCTGTTGTTTTCAAAATATTCTTCATTTTCACTACCTTAAGTAATTTTTCTCTATTTGTACTAATATAATCATTCTGTTGTTGCTGCTTTTTAGTCGTTTCCGACTCTTCGTGACCCCATGGACCAGAGCATGCCAGGCCCTCCTGTCTTCCTCAGTAGCATGTTGGACGCCTTCTGACCTGAGGGGCCCATCTTCCAGCTTCATATATTTTAGCCTTTTGTTTCTGTTCATGGGGTTTTCTTGGAAAAAATACTGGAGTAGCTTGCCAGTTCCTGCTCCAGGTGGATCGTGTTTAGTCAGAACTCTCCACTCTGACCTGTCCATCTTGGGTGTCCCTGCATGGCATAGCCCAGTGGTTCTTAACCTTGGGTAACCCAGGTGTTCTTGGACTGCAACTCCCAGAAGCCCCAACCAGCATAGCTG